ATCGATTTGGGGAACTTAAGCTTGATTACAGGTAAGTTTAAATTTCTATTATTAGTATTCACAAAATGCACTGAGAAACAGGGGTAGTTATTATTAGCTAGATTTGGTTATAGTACCCGAATTACATAGTTGGTGAAAGCCAGTGCCTAAAAGAGCCTTTCCAATGGCTATAACCGCCTTTCCGCTCGTCCACTTCACCTTGTGCGGCGAATCAGAAAAAGTATGCTTGCGCTTAAATATTGGGGTCGTAGGAAATTTCCAAGTGAATTCGGGACGTCTGGCGACTGGCGAATAAGGCTTAACTGTTGGTAGCGGAAATTGGCATTTTAACATGCCTCAGTACAAAACAGGAAAGAACATTGGCTGTCAAAATTAAATATGTTGTTAAAAATATCTTTCAGAAATAAGTACATAAATTGTCCGTCTGATAAATTATGCTTTTCCTAAAGATAAAATATTAAAAAAGCTACCAAAAAATAGAAGCGTTAACCAACGTTGACTCTATTTGATTAATCATAGAAGTTTCATCGTGCTGTTATTATTATTGGTATTCAGTCTACAGTCTGGTTTCGTGAAACTTATAAAGAGCTATTTGAGTGAAAGGCTTCAGAAAGTAAAAGTCGGATACAACTTTTCTACACTTGTACAGATCTACTCAGATGTACCACAGGGATCCATCTTGGGTCCTCTGTTGTTTAGTATTATTATAAATGACATTTTCACCACCTGTTCCCGTGCTCGCTTGCATGCTTACGCCGATGATGTGCAACTGTATCTCCCTAGTAGGTTTGGATTAATTCAGGATGTCTGTAACAAACTTAATGACCATTTAAACTTTATTCTTGCATGGCCAACGAACAACCGTATTTCTCTTAATGTCCAGAAGTCCTGCTCTCTCCCAATCTATAAAGGTAAGATTTCGGTATCTCAGATTCCCCCTTTACATATTGGTACAGATCAGCTTAAAGTTGTCGAAAAATTAAAAAATCTAGGGTTCATTATTAACTCAAAACTCGGGTGTGATGATCCCATTAATGAAGTTGTTAGCAAAATCTTTTATGCACTACGTTATCTAAGAGTAACATCTTCCTATGTACCGCTAGATACGAAAAGGAAGGTGGTAACAAGCTCAATTGTTGCTTAAATTACGTACTTCGATATTGTATATAGTAAATTAGATTCACACTCCCTTAATAAATTGAACGTTACCTTCAACTCTGCCACAATATATGTATATGGTTTAAAGAAGTTTGATCACCTTTCATCTATGAGAAACTCTTTACTTGGCTGTGATTTACAAAATTTCTTAAAAGCGCGTAATAGTATTTTTTTGTTTAAACTTATGCTTAAACTGCGAAACCGGAATACCTTTATAATAAACTTCACTTTTCGAGAAGTATACGTTGGTTTAACCTTATTTTTCCAAAATTTAATTACTTATGCGCTTCAAGACTGTTTTTTATAAACGTGGTAAGACTATGGAACTCCATTCCATTGTCTTTGAAGAACTCGTTACATAAGGGTAATTTCAAAAACGTCATATTTAAGTTTTTCTCTAACAATTGTGATAATAAATAGTGGTTATAGGCGTACTCGTACTTGATCTTTGAATATGTAATTTTATTTTTATTTGAGTTTTTATTTTAACTTCTGTTTTAATTTCTATCCACTCGTGTATATCTAAAGTAAGATTCAATGTCTCCTTTTGTTAACTTTTCTTTTATGTATGCATTTTATGCAATATATGTTCATACTCTACTGTTTGCATTATTGTGCAAATTAATGCACTAATGTGTAATCAATAATAATAATAATAATAATTATATATAATAGAATCGTTCATGGGTGTCGATACCTTTGAAGTTTACCTTCTGTGTAGAATACAATACTAAGAAATGGTAGCAGAAAGCAAAATTCTTTGCCCGATAGTAAAAAAAATATAAATCACAGTTTCAAAGTTTGTACAAAATTTAGGAAAATTGAACAAAATTTCAACTTTTTAAACTGAATCTTTACAACATTTTTGGGTATGCCGTTTTCTAGTCCATACAATTTTAGTCTAATGAAGTGCAAGTTTCATCCAGCTAAAAAATCGCGCTGATTTTTGATAATTGTTTTTTGGAGACTACTTTTGCCGTTTTTTTTTTTTATATAACAAGTGTAATCTACAAAAAACGGGATTTTCTAGCCATTTGAAACTTGCACTTCATTAGACTAAAATTGCATACCCAAAAGTTGTCTAAAGTATCAGATTAAAAAGTTGAAATTTTGATGAAAATTTGTGTAATTTTCCTAAATTTTGTGTAAAGTTTGTAGCTGTGATTTATGTGGTTAAAGCTTGAACAGCATTTTTTATAGAAAAATAACAAAAAAAAATTAGCTCGAAAAACATTACGAATATTAAAAAAAAATCAACACGTGGTCATTGGTTTGAGTCACGTACTTAGGTTTTCTCTCTGACGTCAGGATTTTTTTTAAAAGGACTTTGTATTTGGAAGAAAAAATTCTGCAGAATTATAACAGAAAAATTTTTTGGTGCATAAGTACGAATGGGTACAGAAAATTTCCTTTAAAAATTTTGTCCTTAAAAATCCTTGAAAATTTGCAATATTTATTTTTGGAAAAATTATTGTTTGAGGACTAATATATGTACATACGACCACATCATCGAGTTTCGTCCTGCAAACTTTATTGACTTAAAATTTCAAAGTCCTTTGAAAAAAATCCTGATGTCAGAGTGAAAAACTAAAAACGCAGTTTTACTATATTTGGCCCATAGTTTCTTGAGTATATAGATTCTTTCATGTGATCTGAAATTTTTTTGTTTTTGTGGCACAGTGTTATTCATAGTTTTGGAATATGTTTCATGAAAGCAAAAAATAAAAATAGTTGACATCACTTTCCTTTTTAAACACCTAGGATATCACTGACCATTATAAAGGACACTGAATGACGGCAAAGCCCAAAGTTCTACATACTTGTTGA